ATTTTTCCTCTTGGGGACATATCACTATATGAAGGTTTTTGAATCAAAGTGCATACTAGTTCTAGAAGCTGACACTCTGTTATGAAAAGCATTGACCTTGAGCTGGGATTTCAGTTGTTCCTTTTAAAGTCTGTCTATCAGGCTACTAGCTTCTGTGGGGGAGGTATACAACATACCCAGAGGATCCCATGATTTGGGGTTGACTCCACAACCGCTTTGCTGTAGTTCCCATAATGCAATGTTATGAGTTCCCATGCAAGACACTCAACCACTCTATGAACTCTTGCATAGTGATGCTGGCTGAGGCCCAGCTTGCAAGAAAGGCAAACCCAGTGGCGAGTTGGTCTCTTCAAGGGATGTTGCCATAATAGGGAGTCAATGCTAGTCTCTGTTGTTGTCAGACTGGTTATTTAACAATGAGAATAGCTAAATTTGCCTTGGTAAGTGGGAACCCTTTCTCTTGGAGACAACTATATAGCTTCATTCTTAGCACCTTTGCTACTTTCTTCATGTACTCATCGTTTCAGTTTTGGAGTAGGCAATGGTAGAGGCAGACCGATATTAACTGACTGAGTCATTTGGGCTACATGGTCGTATAGTACCTTTTTGTGTTGAATGCCATTTGGTGGGTGTAATTGTGGGATACAAAGATTTTTCTAATTTGAGCCCACTCCCATATATGTATCCACATACCCTTACCCTGGATCTCCTAGTCACCAATCTTCCCATTTTTCTCTCTTCAGGCACTAATCAGCCTGCTAAGCCACTTGCACCACTGATGGGCCTGTTTATGTAGTCTAACCTTGGACCACTTCTCTTTATACACAAGGTAGATAGCTTAGCTGCAGAGAAGTGAGTTTGCACTATCTTCTGGGGTCTTTGTGAAGATTCTAGATCTTTTATTCTAAGAGAGCACTTCCCAAATGATAAGCTTTTATGATATGAGCCCTTGATCAAGTACCCTCAACATGCAATCCTATGTATAATTTCCCAGTTTCTGCTGGTACCTGCTGGTTCTTGCAGGTCCTTTGGGGCATAGTATCTTGCTTCCCTAATTAGGTCCAGAGTGTCCCTGGCTTGGTTTTGTTGTAGCTTATTGGACAAGGAGCCAGAAAAAGACGTAAGTGCATGTCCTGAAAGAGACACACATTGTCTTGCAGGGGCCAGGCCTTCCTTTATGCAAGAAAGGAGCAGTGTTAGCTCTTTGGGGTGGGGAGGGGCACTACTGCAATCAAATAAGTTTTCAGGAATCCTAAGAATTCGGGATTTATATGGGCCTTCACGTAAATACTCATCGAACGTGTCAGGGTCTTATTTTTTCTCAACCAGGGCTCTCTAATCATGGCATAGAAGATCTGTCCAATCCCGCACCTTTGGGAGGCTGAGGTGAGTAGATTGCTTGAGCCCGTGGGTTCGAGACCCACCTGGGCAGGCAAGACCTCATCTCTACAATAAAATCAAAAAATTAGCCGGGAGTGGTAGCACGCGCCTGTAGTTCCAGCTACTTGGAAGCCTGAAGAGGAAGGATCGCCAGAGCCCAGCAGGTCGAGGCTGTGGTGGCCGGGAGCGGCCACTGCACTCCAGTCTGGATGACATAGTGAGACTCCAACTCAAAAAAAAAGAATGATCCCAGAGCAGGGCGTGGTGGCTCACACCTGTAATCTCAGCACTTTGGGAGGCTGAGGCAGAGGATTGCCTGAGCCCAGGGGTTCCAGACCAGCCCGGGCAAATTGGCAAGACATCATCTCTACAATTTAAAAAAAAAAAAAATTTGGCTGGGCACGGTGGCTCACACCTGTAATCCCAGCACTTTGGGAAGCTGAGGCGAGAGGATTGCCTGAGCCCAGGGGTGTGAGACCTCATCTCCACAAATAAATCAAAAAATTAGCCTGGCCTGGTTGTGGGCACCTGTGGTTCCAGCTACTTGGAAACCTGAGGCAGAAGGATCACCTGAGGCCAGCCGATCTCGGCTGCGGTGGCCGTGAGCTGCCACTGCACTCCAGCCTGGGCAACAGAGTAAGACTCTAACTGGAAAAAAAAAAAAAAATGATCCCTGAAATGTTTTCCACTTGGATATGGGGGACAAATCAAGTGGACGAAGCTGTGGTTGTTTCATAATGCCTATCATAATGTGTTTATACTGCTTATAGCATTGTGCCATTGTGATTGATTCTCTGTTGCTCATCTCAGAGGTGTGCATTTGAGGAATTGATAGTGTTTGTTTTTCTGATTCTGAAGAACCTGGCTCTGTTGTATCCTGGTTCGTTATGATTAAAGATGGACTTCTGAGCTAAGCTGAATTTCACTTTTGGGTGTTTGTTACTAAATAAAGAGTAAAAATGGTTAGATTTTAGTTTTGTGCTTTGACTTCTTGATTAAGAGGTTTGTTGTCAGACATTTTAATCTGAAATT